ATCTTCCCCCGTTGTTAATTTTCTGCCTAGATTGATTAGGAATGATGTGTAAGGTGGGAGGGAGAAGTTCCTTCCAGTGGTTTTTCTAGGCAGAAATGCTTGATCATGCAGTCCCAGCCCCTGCCCAGAACCCTTTTTTGTCTTCCTTGGTTCTAGGATACTGGCTTTGACCATTGCTTATAATCTGAGATTGACCAGGTGTCTCTCACCTGGGATATGTAAATATCCTTTTATTGGTAGGTCTTGAAACTTCTGCATGTTCTCATCTAGTACCACATGGGGCTTCTCATTAGCAAGAGATGTTTGAACTTTATTGGAGCAGAGAAAGAGAGACTTTGGTCACCCGGAAATACTGATATTGTATCAAGACTGAATGTTGGGTTATCACAGTTTTCCCAATCTAGGTTATTGTGGCTACTTTCACATAGATATTGACGGTCTCTGTGTGTCTTTATGTAGAAAATTCTAGATTCATATTATTTTGTAATGTCTGTGCAAAGTAAAAGACGAAAGAATTGAGATATGCTCTAGTGAGTTTTGGAATATTCTTTTAAAAGCAAATTGTGTTTCCCCCCGTCTTTTTCCAGTTAGAACATTCTGTATGAACTTTCTCTTGGCATTTGACATATAAACTTAGGAATAGAAAGGAATAAGTAGCTGACACCACATCAGCACACCTAGTTAATCAGGAGTTACTCTAGTAGCAGCCTCAGACTGGTAATTATTTCATAGCATTGTCTTAATTATCAGTGTGTGTCTGTCTTCTTGTCTTGTTCATAGAGGAGTCTTGGAACTAACTACATTTTCTTTTAATGAAGACAGTCTTCAGCTCAAGCTAAAACAAATCTGCTGTAAAAGACCTCCCTAAAGTTTGAAAATGCAGAGATATTACTTTGATGACTTTAGTGCTCTTGAGATATTTATGACCTTTTCAGTTACCTTTTAATGCTGTGAAGGTTAGATAATGAAAAAGGAAGACCAGAGAACAATTGATGCCTTGGAAATGTGGTGTTGCTCGAATACACTCTGGACTTCAAAATGGACAGGCAAATGGGCCTGAAACAAAATACAACTAGAATGTTTCTTAGAAGTGAAAATGATGAGAGTTCAACTTGTTTACTTCGGACGCATCATCAGGAAAGACCAATTGTTAGAAAAGCACATCATGTTTGATGGAGGACCATTGAAAGTGAAGGAAACCCTCACTGAGATAGACTGACAAAAAAGCTGCAAGAATGGACTCAGACATACCAGTAATCATGGAGACAGCACAGCGCTGACAGCATTTTATTCTATTAGATGTAAGGTCAACATGAGTTTCCAGAGCTGGCTCAACAGCAGTGAAAATGGACTGCAGTTCCACATTTAACCTCTAGGTGTCACTACATAGCGACTTGTTATTAGATCAGGACATAGTACTTTGTAGGAACCCTGATGTCATCATGATTGAACGGCTCAGCTGCTAGCCAAATATCGGTGGTTCA